TGGTGCACACCTGTAATCCCAGCGCTCTGGAGGTAGAGACCGGGAGGATCAGAACTTTAAGGTTATCCTTAGCTACAAGTGAGTTGGAGGCCAGCCTGTGCTATAACTCTGTCTCAACCCCCCCCCCCAAAAAAAAAAAGAAAAAGAAATAAGCAAACACCACAAAACAACTTGTTTTCTGAAGACAGGAGTGCTTTCTGTTTTGGTTTTAGATTTTGCCAGGATTAAAATTTTAACATTCCCGTTTTGCCCTTTAACAAGGTCAAGGCCAAACACGTACAGGGTAGTCATTTTTCTAGTGATAAAGCCCATAATTTTGTTCAAGGAACTGGGATCAAGTAGAGCTTTGACCTGGGACTTCCTATTTTTACAGTTTCTTACTCACTGTCCCTTCTTCACCCCAATGCACTTTCAGGGGCCCCACTGATGGGCTGCCATGCTGGTGAGACCCTACTGCAAGCAAGGCCTTCCCTCTGTGTCCTGGGGCTCCTTTGTTGGTCATGGTTGCTCTTCAGGCATCTGTTTCTGCAATCTTTTTCTGTTAAGCTCCACTTCCCACACCCGCTGTGCTCAGCATTGGCTCTCAGAAGCGCAGTGTTCCACCAGTCATTTCCTCCTCTAAGGAGGCCCTGGGGAGGGTTCCCTCACTGCACCCACATTTAGCTTCCCCGGCCCATTGTGACCCACACCCCCATGTCTGCCCATATCCTCAGCCCGCTGGGAGTCACTGCCCCTCCTCTCTCACGTCTCACTTCGCCAAGACCACACCGAGTCACCTTGAGCTTCTGACCCTTGAAGCCAAAATGCTTCCACACTTGAAGCTTCTGACTGCTGCATTCTCTGTGGGCATTTCATGTTCTCCTTGAATCTGCTCTTGGGAGAGTCTGGGCAATTGCTGTTTTTTTTTTTTTTGTTTGTTTGTTTGTTTTTTTTTTTTCTTATCTCACTCTATGTTTAAGTGAAAAGTACAAGCTGCCTGGTGGAGTACTTCTGGGAAACATAGCCTTTTCCGTCTATCTCTTTACAGGTTTTTGTTGTTTGATTTGTTTTTTTATGTTGCTTTCTTCTGGCCTCTCAGACATGAGTTTCTGATTGAAGTTTACAGAGATCAACCTCTAAACTATTTCCTTAGAGCTACATAGAATCAGAGTATCAGTGTTTGGGATGTTGAAACAGGAGGGATCTATAATTTTCATGCTGGAACTCTGCGTGGAAGTGGGAATTGAAAACTAAAAAGTTGGGCAGTGGGGGTGCAGGCCTTTAATCCCAGCATTCTGGAGGCAGAGGCAGACAGATCTTTGAGTTCAAGTCAGTCTAGTCTACAGAGTGAGTTTCAGAACAGCCAAGGCTACAGAGAGAAACCCTGTCTTAAAACAAACCAAAACCAAAACCAAAAAGCCTAATTACATAAAGTATTGAGTTTTGAAAAATTTTTTTTTCAGGGTTTCTACCTTTGATATTTGTGGTGCAGAGACTTCATCACTGGTGAAAAGAGGACATACCAATTAAGAAGATGGCCACCTCTACTCTCTAACCCAAACCTATACAGATGTCAAGACCTTTGAAACAAGGAGCCATAGACTGAATGCTCCTTGTAAAAGAAGCCAGGCACCCCATGTCACCATTATTTTAAGAGATTAAAATTTGAATTATAATTTAAAGATAATCTTAACGTCAAACAATTTTTCACTCCATTGTAAGGTTTGAAAGTTTTAATCTATGTATTCACAGTCAACTGAGAATAGTCACATTCAGTCCTCCTGACTTTTTTCTTCATTGGGATCTCAAACTTCACTGGTTTCTATCACTTGAAGCTTTCTCTTCATGAGCTGTTTGTTTCACCAACAGCACAGGCCAGGGAAGCTACTCATCAAAGCTCTCTGTGACTGAGAAGCCACCGCTGTGTCCAGATCCTAAATTCCGGCATATTCTACCACAGCATGGCAACTGCCCTCTGCACTTAGACTGTTTTAGAAATGAAGAGACTTGTAACAGACTGCCTTCCCTGGGACTGCCTACCTTATGTTCTTAGTAGGCCCACCCCTGGGTTAGAGAAGTGTGTGGGCAAAAAATGCCTGCGATTTTGCCTTTTGCAGAGCCAAGCCGCTGTTGTTGATAATAAATGATGGGTTGTTTATCTTGGTATTGTTTTGTATGGGCAGATGCCATGAAAGATTCAAAGGCTGTCTGTAAAGAAAGAATGCCCCTATTGTTTATTCAATGCCTGCTTTTTTTATTTAATGTGAGGGTATCTTGTGAAACTGTTTGAATATCAAACACCTACTAAACACTAGTCAGTTTTCTCCTGAGCTGTTCCCAAATAGGCCATTTAACCAACTTGTTTTCAAATGTCGTGTGTGTGTGTGTGTGTGTGTGTGTTTATTTCTGTGTCCTCTGACTGTCGGTGGCTTCAGGAGGAAAGAAAGACAATGTTGAGGTTTAGCATCTTTGATGTTTTTCTCTATTCTGGTTGGCTGACTGTATGTGATGACAGCTGCTGAGAAATCCAGTAGAACCAGACACAGGGCAGGCAGCAAGCATCAACTGTGGAACACTGAGAGGGGCTGGCAGAGCAGATAAGTTTGGTGGTTGATAGAAGATCTTAGATGGCAAGAGGAAGCAGAACAACATTTTGGGGGGAGTGGCAAGAGACATAGTGTTTGAAGGATGTGATGGCATCTGCTCTGGGCCGTCTTGTGACTCTGTGTTTTTAAGTAATACTGAGCATTGCACCCTGGGAAACACAAGAACAAGGCTCATGAAATACATGAGCCAGGCTGTTTCTCAAACAGGAATATGAGGGCACAAAGGATGTGCTGTCAGACATTCCTGTGTTCTGTGCTCAGAGGTTCTCAACACCCAGAAACCAGGAAGAGTTTGATTGGTCTAATGTGACATAACAAGAGTAGAATGAGAATTAAACGGGACCCCATTTCCATAGTAATATTTATGTGGTTGTATAAAGGTAGGGTTTACCTCATGAGAAAACCTTTTGTAGGTAGCAGGCAGGGATGAGTTTGGAGAATCGTTTCTGGGTTGGTGATTTCTGTGAAAAGAAGATGGAAAGGCACTGTCCCACACACTGCTGCAGCCCCGGCATCAGCAAAGTCACATTGGCTATGTGCTAGTATTTCGCGGCGGTGATGGGAACGCATTATAGAGCCTCGCTATTAACATTTACTATTAAAATTTCCGTCACGTAGTACCTTTAATTTTTTTTTTAATTTAAATTTTTAAAAATTAAAATTTTTCTGGACTTTAAAATTTTGTTTTATGTGTATAAGTGTTTTGCCTGCATGTATGTATATGTACCATGTGTTTGCCTGATATTCACAGAGATTCGCTGAAACCGGAGTTATTGGTGGTTATAAGCCACCACGTGAGTGCTAGGAAACAGGGTCTTCGGCTAGAACAACAGTGCTTTTAACTGCTAAGCCATTTCTACACACCATAGAGGCTGTGGCTACCATGGGCATGAATGTTCCTTTCCTCTTTTCCTTCCCCTCCTCCTCCTTCATCCCTGTTCTCCATCTCCTCCCTCCTCTTCTATTCCCCTCTCTTTTATCCTCTTCCTCCTTCCCCTCTCCTCTTCCACCTCAGTGTAGATTTATTCATTTTGCGTGTATGAATGTTTTGCTTCTATGTATGTATACACTATATATATATGCTGAGGAACTGCAGATGTCGATGTCAGAGAGAACAGCAGGTCTCCTGACACAGGAGTTAGGATGGTTGTGATCTGCCATTGTGTGGTGAGAATCAAACATGGGTCTACTCTTAATTGCTGAGCCATCTCTACAGCTCCCTGGAGTCACCTTTTTAAAAAATATTTGTTTTTTATTTTATGAGACTTTTGCTTGCATGTATGAATATGGGACACATACATGCCTGGTGCCTACAGAGGTCAGAAGAGGGTGTTGAATCCCCTGGAACTGGAATTACAGGTGTTTGTGAGCTGTCCAATGTGGGTGCTGGGAACAAAGCCTGGATCCTCTGTAAGCTTAGCAAGTGCTTTTAACCATTTTGCTCCAATCCCTCAAGTGGCTTTGTGATACCACTGTCCTTCAAAGAAAAGAAAAGTTAATGTTAAGATATTTACCCAACAGTTAAAATATCTGCCAGTGCGGAACAAAATCAGAAAAAAATAGTTCATGATACTTCAATTTGCAATAGGAGGTTGGTTTATTTTTATGTTCATGGTTTCAGTTTTGTTAGAGTCTCACTAGCTACCTGGAAACTCACTGGGTAGCCCCCGGTCTCTTTAAACTGTGTCAACCCAGCCTCAAAAATGCTGAGTTATAGCTGTGAGCTACCATGCCCATCCAAAGACTATATTTTTTAAATGCTTAAGAGAATATATAGTAACAGATATATATAACAGTAATATATATAATAACCTCAACACATTTTCAGTTGAGGTTATTGACATTCAAATGAAGTATTATGAAGTAATAGAAACTTGACTTAAATATGAGAATTCTTATGCTTGGAAACAAAGTTCATTTTAAGTTTTATTATGTTTTAAGATGCAAAACATACAGTTAAGAGATCGATAGATAGTAAAGTGGTTGCTATCATGAAAAACTCAACATTCAGCATTTGATGTAATTACCCATTTTCCCTCCTGTGGTAAGAATGGCTAAAATCTACACTTAGCAAGATCCTGAACACCGGTCTGGGTACAGCTCAGTGACACCACATTTACTTGTCTTGACTTTGTGAGGCCAAGAGTTTGATCCCCAGCACCGCAAGAGACAATGGGAAGGAGGAAGTGGGGAAGGAAGGAAGGAAGGAAGGAAGGAAGGAAGGAAGGAAGGAAGGAAGGAAGGGAGGGAGGGCAAAGTGAAGGAAGGAGCTTGACTGTGGCATGTGCACTATACCTTAGGTCTTTGTATTTGTTCATCCTACATAGATGTTGCTTTGTATCTTGTTTTAATATAATACAAGACTCACTTTTAATTGCTGATACTGAGTTAGAAAATCCTTCTTTTATTTTCTAGGTGCTGGTGAATCTGGAAAAAGTACCATTGTGAAACAGATGAAGTGAGTAGATGGAAGGTATTCGATATGATTTTATGGCTCTGAGTGGCTTCTGTAAGGATGTGTTCCTATTTTCCTTTCCTCTCTTTAGAATTATCCACGAGGCTGGTTACTCAGAAGAGGAGTGTAAGCAGTATAAGGCCGTGGTCTACAGCAACACCATCCAGTCCATCATTGCCATCATTAGGGCCATGGGAAGGTTGAAAATAGACTTCGGAGACTCTGCTCGGGCGGTAAGTCATTCAGTTTGTTGGGGGAGACTCTGAGGAGTAACTCGGGAATTGGGGGCAGGGAGTGAAGTGTTGTAGCTATATAGCTGAGACCAGACACCTGCCAGGGATGCATTACGCAAGAAATCAAAATAAGTGAAATAAGAAATACACAGACGTGTACCTTGCTGCTGCTTTCCCTCGCTTGCCCAGACTGTTCAGAAATCACTGAAATGTTTCCAACATAAGGCGGATGTTAGCGTCTTAGTAACTTTTTGGAAACCCCTCAAAACACCTGGGTAAAGCCACGCAAAAGGGGCACCTTGACTTTGGCACAGGGCATCAGAGGTTTCAGTCCATGGTTGGCGGTCTCCATGGCTAAAACACCGTGGTGTGGAGTATGTGAGGGAACTGTGGACCACCGCATGGTAGTCAGGAGGTAGAGAGAGGCAGGGATGGGCAGGGATAAGATACTCTCCTCAAAGACAAGCACCCAGTGACCTGATTCCTCCAACCAGACCTGTTCCAATCATCCATTCACCTCTGAGTTTGTCAGCGGCTCAATTCATTGATGATGTTATATTTCCCCCTCCACCCCCTCCATCCCCTCATCTCAATAGGGACCAATCATTTAGCACATGAATGTTTGCAGCCATTTTATACCCAAACCATAACACGTAGATACCTCTGTGCCCATGTGCTCACCTGCTGTTACCATTACAAAATGCCCAGAGACAATTAGCTTAAAAAGACAAAAGGTTTATGATGGCTCACAAGTTTAGATATTTCGGTCTAGCACTTGGCAGGCTTAGGCAGGAAGAGTCCAACCTAGACTACCCAGTGAATCCTAGGTCAGCCAGTCAAGGCTACACAGCAAGGAAACAAAACAAAAACATTTCAGCACTGAAATGATCTAATTATTTGTTCTTGGGCCTAGACTAAAAGAACAACCAAACCCTGAGTAATGAAAATGGTATGAGTTTGCTTATCTTTGGGACAGGAAAATACCAGCTATAAAAACATGATTCAGAGCTAGATGGGACTTCAGCAGACAAGCCCATGCCTGGCAAGGAAGCCTTTCTCTCCATTTGATGCTCAATCTGTTTATTGAGTGGTTGTTACCTGTTATCTTGTCCATATGTCCCTGAAAGGAAATCCTGCCATTTTGTACCATGAATGGAACCTCAACGATCTTATGAAATATGAGAAAGTATGGTCTCCTTTCACTTGTGAAATCAAAAACAAATGTAAAAGTCAAGTATCAAAGAGAAAATAAATCAGTTGTTAGAGGAGCTTAGTGTAAACTGGAGGGAAAGAAAGGTGTGTGGCTGGAAGTGTTCAAAGTAGTATATATGTAAGACAAAGAAATCTAGAGAAAAAGGTACAGTTTGGGGACTGTGGTCAAATCATTTTAAATTCATTTAACACTTTTGGGGTACTTGTTAGATGAATAAATGATAAATGAATAAATTAGAGAGTGAATGAATAGTAGATGAGACAAAGTACTCTAGGTATAATCAAATCTTATTTCAGGAAGAAAATTTAGAGGAATGTTATGAATTATTAAAAATTATTTTGAAATGTTCTTGGAAACATATCAGCAGCGCTAACCTTTTTCTAATCTCTGTTTAAGAGAACGGCTCAAATGGAATCCGCACTGAGATTAGGAAGAGAAAGTAAACAGAAATGGTACTTTATACCAATTCTTATTACAGCAATCGAAAATTTAGCAGATTCATTTATATAAGATAGTTGTAGTGGCTCATGCCTGTAATCCTAGCACTTGGGAGAAATGAAGTAGGCGGATTGTCATGAGTTTGAGGTCAGGAACTCACTAAGCAATGTAGTAAGTCCAGGTCAACCTGGGCTTACAGAGTGAAACCTCATCTCAGAAAACCACAGCAAACTGCACAGCATCCCACAATCATAGCCTCGGGAATCAGAACCTACGCTGGCTGCAGGAAGAAACGCTTTAGAACCATGCTCAGGGCAGGCAGTTCTATGAGAGGCCATTTGTTTTCATACCTTTCTTGGGAGGAATTCTTTTTAAACCTTTTCTGTACGATCCTTCTGCTTAGCCTTAGGAGGAAGTACTCTGACTATAAGTGCACTGGTTTAGTTAATTAATCTCTCATCCGAGGCTCTGGAATCGGTATGCGCCAGTAGATGTACCTAGTGACGGCCACTTCCTGCTTTCAGTCCATTACCTCTGATACCCCCAGCCTTCCCCAGTTCCTGCTTCACACAGAGGCTGTGTTCTCCCACATTCTATTCCCATTTGTCAGTCCTGTATTTCAGGATGCCTTGCTTCTGCATAGAACGAAAACCACTACAAGCCCCTTGCAATTCCTCTTGGGGTTATAAAGATGAATTAGGTAGAGCTTGGAAGCTCATGAGGAAGGCACATTTGTGATGAGCATTGTAACCTAGGTAAGAGGTTTCTAGATAAAAAAACGAAGAAAACCCACTCTGCAACCAAGGAATAGTGTATTCAAAGGCACGTTGAAAATTCCTTTTTCACAAGGAGCAGTCCCTGCATTGTAAGGTGAAGGAAAAGTAGATATTTAATTCTGCTAAGGACCACAGGTTTGCTTTACAAGTGAAAGCAGAATGAATATTCTTTGGTAGCCAGCCTGCATCACTGTCTGTTTTCTGAGGGTCACACTGACTTAGATATTACCAGCATTCTAATTTTGAACATCGTATAAAGGAGGAAAATTATCAGTTTCGTCTCTTATTTTTTTTTCCTTTCACAGTTATTGAAGGTGAGACTAGTCTGTATTTCCATTATGAATCTTCCGGGTATTCTCATTTTCGTTAATTAGTTTGTGCAATGGTTTTCTTTGAATGTTAGAGATAATAAGCCTTTGTGTGTTATAAATATTTTCTTCTTACTGAACCTTTTTTAATGCAATTAATTCTGACATTTTTGTCTTGGTCTTGATATGAAGACAATATCCCCAATTAATATAATTACTGTTGTTACTGTTGAGCCAAAGCCTCATGTATCCCAGAATGGCATCACATGAATTGTCTAGCCACAATGATTTTGAACTTGGTATGTGTGTGTTTGCATCTGTGCATGTGCAGAGATCAGTGTCCTCTTTCTTCTTCAGTTGCTCTCTACCTTATTTTTGGGGGGATAAAGACTCCCATTGAACCGAGACCTCAGTAGTTCAGCCTGGTTGGCTAGCCAGGGAGTTCAGGAATCCTCCTGTGTCAGTCTTTCTAATCCCAGAACTGGGATGAGAAAGGCACATAGCCCTGCCTGGCTTCGTCCATGCCCTGAACTAAATCCCCATGCTTATGCACAGGCCCTTACTGACTGACACATCTTCTCTGAAAAGTATGATTTTTAAGTATTATTTTGTATAATACTATGGTTTTTCTCTAATATATCTTTCTGTCCACGTGTTTGTAGATGTTTGCTATTAAGTAAGATCTAAATATGTCATATAATTTTTCTCTTGCCTTATTCCCATATATTAATTAGCCATTCCATTCCCCAATGACTTGAAAATACTACCTTTGACATTTAATTGGGTATGCTTATAGACTTTTCCCCCTCCACTGATATGCTCTTGTTTCCTTCCCAGAACATTCACCAATTAAGTGACTTAGTGTTTCTAATTATGTTTAATTATATGAAATAGAAAAAAAATAAGAATATCTCCTTCGTGTTTTAAGAAAGGTGAAATCAATACTGATTGTTTGTAACATGCCCTGGTCACAATAGATGCTCAATAAGCTGTTGATTTTGTTATCAGTCATTACACTGTTACTGTTGATGGGATCGCAGGATGTTAGTTTGTATTGCTTCACAGACCGCAGATGAATTGACACCCAGTGGATTTTGATTTACCTGTCTTGTTCTTTTACCAAATGTCAAGATGATATCTCCCCCTCTCAGCAGTTGCTTATTGCTAGTGGCTCTTCATCCAGGGCCGGAGCCCCGTGAGATTTCCTCCATCTACGTTGGGATTACATCTGAATACACAGTTTGCTTGTTGAGAAGCGAGGGAAAAGGACCAGTGTTCTCAGAAATTGTGACTAATGAGTGGTAGTTTCTGCAGTTAGCAGATTTCTGCACAGCATGTACACTGGAATTTTAGTCAAGGTCAGGTATGCTGGGAAAGGTATGGCCACAGCCCATATTATTTTAATTAAAAAAAAATTCGAGGTTGGCATTGTATATCAACTTTATTATTATTATTATTATTATTATTATTATTACTATTACTATTATTTTATAATTTATTCACTTTGTACCTCAGTTGTAGACCCCTCCCTCATCTCCTCCCAGTCCCATCCTACCTCCCTCTTTCTCCCCTATCCTTCTCCCCTAGTCCACTGCTAAGGGAAGTCCTCCTCCCCTACTGTCTAACCTAGCCTATCAGGTCCCATCAGGACTGCCTGGATCCTCTTCCTCCCCCACCAGGGAGAAGTGACAAAGGATCAGGCAACCGAGCTCATGTCAAAAATTACCTCTTCTCCCCTTACTAGGGAGCTCACATGGAGGCTGAGCTGTCCATGGGATACATCTGGGCAGGGGGTCTCTTCCTCTCTATGCATGGTCTTTGGTTGATGCATCAGTCTCTGCAGTCCCCTCTGGGCCTAGCTTTTTTCTGGCTTTGTTGGTCTCCTTTTGTGGCTCCTGGTCCCTCAGGATCCTTCAGAATCTGGAAACAACCTAAATGTCCCTAATTGAAGAATGAATATAGAAATGGTGGTACATTTACACAATGGACTACTACTCAGCTATTAAAAACAAGGAGATCATGTAATTTGCAGGCAAATGGATGGAACTAGAAAAGGTCATCCTGAGTGAAGTATCCGAGATGCAGAAAGACACACATGGCATATGCTCACTTATAAGTGGATGTTAGTTATATAATATAGGATAAACATACTAAAATCTACAGACCTAAAGAAGCTAAACAACACGGACCTTAGGGAAGATTCTTAATTCTCATTAAGAAGGGAAAAGAGGATAGACACCGGAAGTAGTAGAAGAGAGAGAACAA